CCTTTTGGGAACATGTGGGAGCTGCACCCACCAGCAGGTGCGATACCTGCTTCAGCAGGTGGGCGGCCAGGGGTCAGCTGGTAGCATCAGGACCGAGCTTCTTCGATGGGCCAGTCGCTGTGCTTCCCCTCTGGTCCCCTCCTACGAACCAGCAGTCTCTCCTCAATGCCGCTCGGGGGGACCGACAGCCTATCTCTAGGTGGCGGGTGCCAAGCTTGCCCAGGGAGGTCCATGCGGCCAATGGGGATTGGGCCCAAGACCTCCTGAATGCCAGTTGCATGCCTTACCAACTGAGCTAGGCCAATGGGGATTGAGCCCAAGCCCCCACAACGGCCGCAGAACTTTACAAAAATCCAAAACCAACCCAAAAAAACAGAAGTTTTGATCAATCGAGCAAGTTGATAAAGCACGCAATAGATTGCTGCAGTTTCCTGATAAGAAATCCATGGATCAAAGAGAGCTTCTCCCCATGGCATTTCGCCTTTCATTGCGTCCTTTCTTTCTCAATGCCAAGGCATCCACCCAATTGGCATTTTAGCCAAGATACTTGGAATAATAATACCATTTTTACTAGGCGTTGCTTTTTTAGTGCAAGCGTGGAGAAAGTGGTTAATGAAGATATAAAGCGTCATTTAGGTAAACACACATTAGAGTAACGATTTCAACAGCTTTTATTGGGTATGTGTTGCAATGGGGACAAATGAGTTTTTGGGGAGCTACTGTAATTACAAGTTTAGCTAGTACAATACCTGTTGTAGGAGACACCATGGTAACTTGGTTATGGGGAGACTTCTCCGTGGATAACACAAGCAGGCGGCGGGCGTTTACGTGGACAGTAAGCCACGGCTGAATTCGTGCTCGATGTCAATAGCGAGCCCAAGACTTGAGAATCCACGCGACACGCGATTGCCTGAGAAGGTACTCACGCAAGGACCTAAACCTTTTGGAGACAATTCAATTAAATAATTAAATTCGAGATCGTGGGAACTGGGGAAATAACTCCACGGTGGTACCATACCAAGGAGAATTCAGAGATCCCAAACCTAACTCTAAATTGTCTATACCATGCTGTGTTTCCTATATTTGTTTCCAACTCTTCAGCGAGCCTTTAGAGGCTTGCTAGAGGCCTTCGTCGGCTCTCACAGGAGTCGAGCCTCCAACTCTTCAGCGAGCCTTTAGAGGCTTGCTAGAGGCCTTCGTCGGCTCTCACAGGAGTCGAGCCTGTAGGGATACAAAATATTCCCGGCATCTGGTTGGTGGGAACGAGAAGTGTCAGCGTGGTGAAATACTACATGATCTGAGTTCATTGTATTGCTCTTCTTTGGCTGGTATGTGTATTGTGCTCTCCTGCTTGGTACATGACTTTCTGGGCTACAGCGTGATATTGCAATTTGGTTTTCTGTCTATCGCTCTCGCTCATATTCCGTGCATTTACATGTACACATTTGAACTTTTTTGGCATTTGATTATTGCTATTAAACTACCACTGCTCTCAAAGCGAAGTGACCGAGCCTTGGTGATTCTTCAAAGCTTAGAGCACCAAGCCGAAACTCTTTGGGCCTACAGTGTACAGCAGGGAGCAACAATATTCTGCCATCATTTTTTTTCCTGCCCTCCAGTTCTTTTGCTTTTTCCGGTTATTTCCGGTCAAATCCGCTCTGTGCGAGGAATGAGCCCTCGCAGGGCCCTTATCGGACATGCACATGTTCTGGGAAGTGGCCCTCAGAAAGCCCTGTGCCCACCCTAAGTGAAGGCGGGCCTGAGTACTCACAAGAGGCCAAAATTTCCCCTTTTTCTTCTCCATATGGGGGTACTCAACCAGTTGCAGCACGCCAGTTGGTTACAAGGAAATGTGAGCCTCCCAGCTCTTTCCAGAAACATGGGCTGCACTGTATAGATGAGCCCAGGGCCGAGTGGTTGCGCCCTGGGCACACGCATTGTGAGGCCGACACATCACTCAGTGGGCGCGGACGAATGAGAATGCAGCATTGTCGTCACACAATTGCCGCGAGCCAATCAGAATGTGGCAAACACTTGTGGCGTGGACGTCGGCCTGGAGGAGCCTAACTGCAAAGCATCCACAGCCAGGCCCAGGCAGCCCAGCGGGACAACCACTCCCATATAGGGAGGAGGCCGGCCACTGGCTGGCTATTGTGGCCTACGTAGGCAATGTGGATACGGTGCTGCGTCGCAGAACTAGTGTCTGCATTAGCGCTGCTTGGCTGGGGCGTGCGGGGTGCTAAGTGGTGAGGTGCTCGGGAGGAGGCGCATGTGTGTGGGTGGTCAGGGGGCGATGAGGGGAGACGAGGATACGTACCTGGTGTATGTGGGAGGTCGGCATTGGTGTTGACGTCATGTACATTTGTCTTCAGAGGCGAAGCGAGCCTGTTGCATGAATGCGGCTTCAGTAAGATAGGCTGGGTAGAGTAGGAGAGGCGCTGGGCGCCATACAATAGGAGTGACATTGGATACGGCGTTGGTGTGGCGTGAGGGCTTGAACACTGGGTCACGAGTTCATTGTATCGCTCTTATGTGGATGGAATCTTGGTGCAATTATGCTCTCTGCTGGGTACATGACTATCTGGACATCTATGTGATTTTGAATCGTGGTTTTCTGTATATCGTTCTCACTCATATTCCTTGCGATTTGGTGTCGGAGCTGGTCCGAGATTTGGTACTTGGTGCGCTAACAATGCTTCTGTGCAGTGAGGATACATCGGCGCTGGCTTGATGTGCGACACCCGGTTAGAGGGGGGAGTCGCCGGAAGGCTGTGGCAACACCGTGGGAGTTGTGGCGACAACGGATGTATGTATGATGATGAGAGCATGCCGATGTGGCATTTGGCCGAGGTGGGACTGCAGTGGGTTGTGGGTGGTACCGAAGCTATGACCGGTCATCATAATGCGCATTGGCTCAATTGGTGAGAAATCTGTGGTTGGGGGCAGCTATCTACAGGTACGTTGTTCCGTTACTATCTCTTAATCTCTTCCTACCGTGAGGAAGTGAGTCCAACCTTGAGTGTCCTCTTTTTGTGAGGAGTCGTGAGCGCTCTACCTCGAGAGACGACATTCTTCCTGGTGGCGCATCTGGCAGGAGAGGGTGGTGCCTCTGAAGGGCCCTGGACAAAGCATGGGTCACGGTCACCACGCCAACCCATGGGAGTAGTACATGCAGGCCATGCTGCATTGTCCTTTAAGGCTCTTTGCTGCGCTGATAGAGGGGTGTGCGGACTGACCTGTCCTATGCAGACGCTGCAGACCGTCTATAAACATTTATGGCGGGGTTCAAAATTGTCCACTGGTTGTGATCGTCGTCCTGTCTGCGACATCGAATAATTCCTGAGGACCTCGGGGGCCGTCCTTAAACTGCCTCTTGATCAGCCAAATCAGTCAGACGTAAGGCTCGTTGCACACGAGGATACAAAAAGGGCAGTGCTGGTCATAAGCATATTCTTGGGGCACAGGGGTGGGTCGTTAAACCACAAGTACACGGCCCCAGTCTTGCAGTCCGAAACTTGTCGCCACAAGAAAACAAGGCCGAAACGTCAAACGTTGGGCCCGTCGTTGATAAATTTGATCGGTGGCCTCCGTTCTCGTTTGGCGATGCCAGAATTTGAGGTGTCAGACCCGTGGCCCAGGTGCCCATGTACTGGTGGTTTAATGCACACCTTAGACACCGTTGCTCGATGACGAGGACAGGCATGTTGGATACAGGGGAGGGAGATTCCAATTAAGGCTCAATTGTCAACTACAAACATACCCGTTATGCATACATCTGCTCACATGATTTATTTTATTTTTGATTAGTTGATGAACAAACTGGTGACACCTAACAGATAGCCTAGAACAGAAGTGTAGTATTCTACCATAGCCAGTTCCTATCAACGTTGTTGTGAGTGAAACTAATCAAGGTAGGATTACATCATGTGTACAGTCTGTGCGAATGTTGTTGATACTGCTTGAACGGTAGCATAGGTAAGTGCCAAATATTATTTTATTTTTAATTATTTTTCAAATCGGTCAGACACACGCTGTGGTAGGCTCCTGCGTGGGCATTAGTGCAGACAGTGTTTGCCTAGCTGATGAGTGGATCAGGTAGAAGGCAAACATGAAAGGATACACGTAGATTACCCGTAGTGTTTAGGTTTTGCTATCGAGAGACGAAAGAAGGTTAAGGGTCGAAGCAAGGGCCCGTGTACTTGAGAATGCAAGGGAAGCAGCAGCAGCAACAACTAGCGTAGTAGCGATGGCTACATCCGCAACAGCAACCTCTTCTGGTCACATATTAGGCATGCCTACCAGCTCGGAGTCCATTTCCAGTACAGCAGGACCACCTAATCAGATGGCGGGCTCGTAGTTCAGCTCGCGGCCTCCATGCACTAGAGAGGCGCTAGAACTCCAAGTGGAGATGATCCGCTTACAGTTAGAGAAGGAGCTTAGAGAGGCTACCGAAAAATAGACAAAGATTAGAACTAGGAAAGTTAGGCTTAAGAATAGGAAGGCAGTCAAAGCTGCTGTAGAAAGGCTGGACAACGCTGTCATTGATGATAACACTAGGATTTTCAAGGCAGATCTACTATCCATGCATGCGTACGTGGACAGCAAACTGAATGATATCGAGAACAACCTTGACCAGATACTGTGAAGGGGATGGGAAAGGCCTTTGCATCTCCAACAGGTGGGCTTGGTCGTCGACCAGCAACTTTCCCATTGCCGATGTCTTCACCGGTGATGGCCAGTCCTACTATGTCTCAGACTAGCAGTTCACCAAGCGGTACATCAGCAGCAACAACACAAATTGTTGCTTCTTCATCTTCTGGTCCAGCGACTGGTGCTACACAACAGTCGGTCCCACCAACGGGACCACAGCAGCCTTGGTACCCCAAGACTTCGTTCAAACCGCCTTCAACCTTCTCAGGTGATAAGAAGGATGAAGGATGAGGCTCTCTGCACTTGGTTGAGAACGGTGTCAGTGTGGGTGAGGGCGAAGAGGACACTTGTAGAGGAAGAAGTGATCACTGCCGCATCCTATTTCGAAGGATCGCTAGTGTGATGGTTGGATGGATTAGTGGCTTGAAAGTGATTCGGCAGAAACATGAGCAATTGGGCGAAGACCCATACTTTAGAGAGTTTTATGGAGTTGGTAGAAGCGCAATGGCACAACCCGCAGCAGGCCCAACAAGGCAGTGATGCGTTGACCCGACTTGATACTAAGAGGTACAAGACCGTGCGCAAACTTGCCTTTGTCGTAGAGCGTCTCATTGTGGTCCCTGGAGTACGCTATGATCCACATGCTTTATTGACGATGTATTTGAGATGTCTTCCCACATACAACAAGAAATTGTTATTGGTAAGTGAGGCCAAAATCGAGTATCACACATTGGATTCCTTCAACTAGAGAGCCCTGGACTTAGAGGCTACGCTAGGAGGAGCTCAACAACCCTTTACGGACTGAAGAAAGAAGAGTAGTCCACAAGAGTGGAAGAAAAAGGGTAGTCGATTGATGATGGTTGATTCCGATGGGAATCAAAGTGAGATCGATAATGTAGCCGACCTTATGGATGATTGAGAGTTGGACGGTGTGACCGGTATTCGCGAGGTGCTTGCGTCAAGTGCAGAGAGTATGGCCATCAACATTTTAGATGCAAAAACGCGAAATCTTTCTCCCAAAGTGGAACTTAGAAGTTATAGTTGCTTCTACTCCTGATGAGGGGGCCGATGTACCCTTCCCACTTCAAGAGTTGGCCGAAGCTATTGACTCTTTAGTCAACCCACAGACGCATCCCGACCCAACGATACACTGTTTGTTGGATGTGTCTGTAGCCTGAGAAGACTTACAAACTGAGTGGTCGGCAAGGGATCCTCGATAGTCTTGGGTGACACTAAGTCGTGGTCCTAGAGGGGAGCATTTCGTAGTGGAAGTTGGTGTAGATGGGTGCAAGTGTGGTGCCTTTGTAGACATTGGCTCCACGTGGAACTTCATAAATCGCGACTGTGTTGAGAGATTGCGCCTAGGGGATAGGTTGCATCACCTTAGTAGCCCAGTAGCATCTACTTTGGCCAACGAAGAGTGCATGTGGTTGAAGACTATGTCAAGGATGTGTTTTGCACCTCTTATGGAGGCGAGGAACTAAATCATAAGATTCCGTTCCTAGTTAGCGACGACTTGCCATTCGACATGTTGTTAGGTATGTACTACCTTGAGGTTATCAAGCCCTAGTTTCACTGGGACAAGAAAGTGCCAAAGCATGAGCTGCCTATGGGAGAATCATTAGACTAAGTATAAAGCTAGTAGGTTAATTGACTCCTTTGGGTGCTTACTATAAACAGAACAGGGTATGCACTTGGTTCTTGCCTATGAAAAAGCGAAGGCCGTTAAAACACCCCCAGGGATAGAAAGTGTCATCGCAAAGTTCCCTGATCTGGTTGAAGAGCCTTCAGGAGTCGTAGATAGAGAGGTTGTCCATGCCATAGAGATCATCCCAGGTAGCAAGATACCTAAAGGGAGAATCTATAGGATGGCCCCGACCGAATTAGGCGAGCTTCGTCGACAACTGAAAAAGCTTACAGAGAAGGGTTGAATATGGCATAACATCTTTCCCTTCCCCCCGTCTTATTTGTTCTGAAGAAGGGGGGATCATTGAAGATGTGCATTGATTATAGAGGCGTCAAAGCAATCACAGTTAAGAACGCAGGGCCTCTACCGCCCATCGACGACCTATTGGATAGGGTGCAGGGATGTAAGTACTTCACTAAGATAGACTTGAAGTCCGACTACCATCAGATTGCGATTAGACCGGAAGACCAACACAAAACCGCTTTTCAGATCAAGTGTGGTCTGTACGTGTTTGTGGTGATGCCCTCTGGTCTTTGCAATGCGCCGGGTACATTCAAAATTAGACAAGTTTATCGTCGTGTACCTTAACGACATTCTTATCTTTAGTAAGACTGTCGAGGAGCATGCTCAACATGTAGACAAAAGTACTTTTTCTCCTCTTGCAGCACAAGTATAAGATAAACTTGGAGAAATGCGAGTTTGGTCGCACTAGAATATTGTACTCGAGTCATGAAGTTTCCGTGGAAGGGATTAGGCCCGAAGATGCCAAGGTGGCTAGCATTCGTGACTGGCCACGACCTCAGTCTGTGATCGAGGTCAGATGTTTCTTAGAGATGTGTGGCTATTATCGCAACTTTGTTAAGAACTATAGTACAGTGGCCAACCCTTTGATTGATCTAACTCGCCTTGACACACCATGGGAATAAACTGACAAGTGTGAAGCTGCTTTCAAGCGATTGAAGCATGCTCTCATGCACCATGAGGTTCTCATGGTTCCCAATCCTGAGAGGCCACTTGTTACCACTGACGCAAGCCAATATGGCATTGGCGCAGTGTTGGCTCAGCCGGTCGAGTGCATGAGCAAAAAGATGCCTTCTAAGAAGTTAGCGAAGTCCACCTATGAAAGGGAACTCTACGCCGTCTATAAGGCACTTGTCCACTGGAGACACTCTGTTGGGAAGGTTCTTCTATTTGCGGACTGACCATCAAACACTCGAGTGGATCAAATCACAACCTGTTGCACTCAAATGGTGGATTGAGGTCATATATCAGTATAACTTAAGCTAGACTATTACTGATGCGCTATCACGTAGGGCAGACTACCTAGGTGCGCTGATTATTGAATTTGGCTTATCTGACAAGGTAACTCGGTTCTTGGTGGAAGCCTACAAGGAAGACCCTGTCACGATCGACATCATACCCAAACTTGAGGCCCAAAACAAGGCCACAATTGATGAGTTTGTAGTGGTGGATGGGTTCCATCTAGAGAAATTTTGCGTAGTTTATTTTTAGTTGTGTGCCATGATAGAACGAAACATTTTGGCTACAAGGAGACTAGTGCTAACTTAGTACAACGATTTTGTGGCCTAACATGCATGACGATGTAAAGAAGTACGTACAGACTTGTAGAGTCTGTCAGCGGGACAAGCCGCAAATTCAAGCCCTTGCCGATTCCCGTTGTCCGGGTCTCCGTGGACTTAATGGATACCCTCGTGACCAGCAAGAGTGGCAAGAGGCATATTTTCGTCATAGTTGATAATTTTACTAAGTACGCTAGACTAATTGCTATGCCAGAGATAGTAAGGACTGAACACGTCATCAAGTTGTTTATGGATAACTGGGTGCGTGATTTTGGACTGCCTAAAACGATCGTCAGATTCACCAGTGAGGTCTGGAAGAAAGCTACTGAACAGATGGGCAGCCAGCTCCATATGACTTCAGGAAATCATCCCGAAGCCAACGGGCAGGCTGAATAGATGAATAGAGTGGTGCAGCATCTGCTGAGAGCATTACATGAAACCCAGCCAGGATTACTGGATGAGCAGTTACCTCTCATCGCCAGTCTGTACAACAACGTAGTACAGAGTACCACCGACATCAGTCCAAATCAGCTGCACTTGGGGTGGAAGCCTAGATCTACTCTAGACTTCTTGCTGCCTGAAAACCGATGTGCTGCAACTCCTGGAACCATAGAATTTGGTGTCGAGCACGAGAAGTTGATGCAGCAGGCAGTCGAGCACATCAATAAATCTCAAGAAGCAATGATTGTTTTTGAGAACAAGCATCAAGGACAGTCCACATTTCAGGTAGGGAGCGTGTCTGGGTAATGGCCAGCAAGTTAGGACAGGAATTCGACATCTCTAGAAAACTAATGCCTCAATATTTCGGTCCATGGGAAGTCGTGGATATTGTGGGTAGTTATTTGGATGGTCCCTCGTACATGATTGGAATCCCTGGTCACTTGTGCGCTTACCTTGTGTTTCACGCCTCAAAGCTTTGCACCTTTCGCTGAGACACAACAGTTCCCATCAAGGAGATCAATGCTGCCCCCAACCATGGATGGCCACTTGGACGTCGACGATATTTTGGAACACAGAGACATGCCTGTTCCCAAGCCAGTTGGTAGGGGAAGATCGATCAAGCCTATGAGGGAATACCGTGCTCGGTTCAAGCATCATACGGATCCTAAGGAAGATTGTTGGTTCACAAGGGAGGACACCTCCTCAGATCGTGGCTGAGTACGAGCACAAGCTGAAGGGGAAGGCACCTGCATAGAAGCATCTCAACAGACTTTCGAAGCTAAGGGGGATGGAGTGCGAGGAATGAGCCCTCGCGGGGCCCTTGTCAGACATGCACATGTTCTGGGCAATGGCCTTTAGAAAGCCGTGTGCCCGCCCTAAGTGAAGGCGGGCCTGATTACTCACAAGAGGCCAAAATTTGACATTTTTTTTCCATATGGGGCTACTCGAACAGTTGCAGCACGATAGTTCGTTACAAGGAAATGTGAGCCTCCCAACTCTTTCCGGAAACATGGGCTGCGCTGTATGGTTGAGCCCAGGTCCGAGTGGTTGCACCATGGGCACACGCATTGTGAGGCCGACACATCACTCAGTGGCCGTGGACGAATGTGAATGCAGCATTTTCGTAACACAACTGCCGCGAGCCAATGAGAATGTGGCAAACACTTGTGGCCTGGACGTCGGCCTGGAGGAGCCTAACTGCAAAGGGCCCAGGCCCCCAACTGTATATTTCGGCCTGGGCGCAGACTCTGGGATTGGACCGGAAGCCTCTGCAAGCATCTGCAGCCAGGCTCAGGCAGCACAGCAGGGCAGCCACTCCCGTATAGGGAGGAGGCCGGCCACTGGCTGGCTATTCTGGCCTACACAGGCAATGAAGACACACTGCTGCGTCTCAGAACTAGCGTCTGCATTAGCGCTGCTTGGCTGGGGCACGCGCGGGCGCTAAGTGGCGAGGGGCGCTGCAGAGGAAGCAGGGCGCTAGCGGCTATAGACGCGCTGCAGGGCGCAAGGCAGAGGAAACCGACAAGAGGTCTTCAGGAGGAGGTGCATGTGTGTGGGTGGTCAGGGGTGATGAGGGGAGACGAGGATACATACCTGGTGTATGTGGGAGGTCGGGGGTGATGAGGGGAGACGAGGATACATACCTGGTGTATGTGGGAGGTCGGCATTGGTGTTGACGTCATGTTACATTGTTCTTCAGAGGCGAAGCGAGCCTGTTGCATGAATGCAGCTTCAGTAGGTTGGTGTGGCCTGAGGGCTTGAACATTGGCTCGCAGGTTCATTGTATCGCGCTTATGTGGATGAAATCTTTGTGCACTTATGCTCTCTGCTTGGTACATGACTATCTGGACATCTGCGTGGTTTTCTGTATATTGTTCTCACTCATATTCCTTGCATCTGCATGCCTGGCTTTCCTCAGAACTTTTGTCAAAAGTTATGGGCATGAAAAATTGCCAGAGCATGGGTGCACTCAATTTTTTTTGCAGTGCTGCT